TTAGCCTATTTTCCCATCAAACTAAGGGCCGTTTGGACCAAAGTGAGGGTTTTTTTCATGGTTAAGTTTGTTCTTATTTTTAGGTCAAGTTTAGGACAAAGGTGTGAATTGAGTTTGGGTTTGGTATCCACTGGTGATTGTTTGGTTTAGTTATTTTTCAGGGTTAGGGCAAAGAAAGGTTGAACATGACTGGAAATCAGTTGAATCAAGGAGAATGTTTGCATAACAATTTAGTGTTCTGCATGATGAATGCACTTTTTAACATACCGACTCCTTGACTTGATTGGACCTGTACAAAATATTCAGCCCTGTAATGGAGACACTCAGCGTGACAGTATCACAGTACTGTTGCATAAATTAATTTGGGTGTTGTAAATTAAGTCATGTTGAAATCATTAATGTTAATGACTGCAGTTACTTTGTGGGCTGATTATACTGACCCTCCTTATCATCCTCCTCCTGGCTTCTCCATCATCCACCTCTTTGGGCATTTTCAGCCAGCAATGCTAACCGCTACTACTGCTGCTTCTCTAGAAGGTTATTCTGTCCTACTTCTAGTCCCCCGCCTTTGAAAAAGTCAAATATAGGACAGAAGGGGAGGCCCACATACTCGGTCAGTCTGATCAGCGCCGTGAATGGCAGGGTCATCTGAGCAGCTGTAGCCTGGCTGTTCAAACTATAACCATGAAAGCAAAGGGAAGTGGGCCAGAACATGAGTGGTTAACATCCTAATGCTGTGCACTCACTGGTGCCCTGCTAAGAGACACAGCGTCACCAACAGCCATTATAATTAGCATTAGCGGCTTCAGATGCTGCGCTACATGATTGCACTGATATAACATCTTTAAAATTAATTCAATAATAAGTTGCTTAGATGTTTTGTATTAAGGATAAAAGTAGCATCCTTACGGACCCGGATCAAAGGCTGTAAGTTTATGCTCACTTGTGTGTTACACATTTCCAATGACTCTCACGTTATAGAAGATTTTTAGTTTGCTTTATGGCTCCCTCCAGGTTTGCATTCCTGGAAACGGATCTTAAATCTATCTTAAATCTATAAGATAACAAATGAAACCATTAGCAGATAGGCGTTATTTTTCTGAATATGGAAAGTATTCTCTAAAACAGATAGTTGGCCTTAGATGGTATAAAATAAGTTGTTTGATTATATCATTTTAAGTCCCTGTGGAACAGCAGGCACTGTGCTAATGCCTCAGATGTATTTGTTTTTTAAACAGGAGCTGTTATTATCAAAGCTCAGTAAAAGCCCAGATGGTTTTATTTTGCCTTCTCTAGTTTGTTTATATTTGGCCAAAATTCTACAGTGCCGGTTCACAAATGTGAATCATAAATTAAAGAGTGAACCAAACAAATCCCTTGTGTTTTAAAAGGATTTTAAAGGCTTAAAAATGACACTATAATTCAAAATCCTGACCATTGTCAAAAAATACTGTTATTAAATTCTTAAAATCTATTAATTTACCCCTTATTGTAAACATCCTTTTTTATAATCATTAGTATTGCAGCACAGCAACATTATCTGTTTTATTAAACAGCTGCTAAATTACAAACCTTACATGGCTCAAGAGCTAAAAGGTCAGCACTTTTTGCTTTTATCCTATAAACTCAAAAACTTTTTGTAATTTGGAACCAAGGTGGTTTTAATTGTAGTCAAAAGAAAACACAGCATTCAGTCAAGTGAGTATAACTCTAAACTGGGTGTACTCATGTCATTGCAGATTAGATAGAATATCAAGCACCAACCCCTTGAATCCACCCTTTCCTTCAGTCAAAAAAGGGTGGAGCCACTATCTGTACCACCAACATTTTCAAGTCCGATGTGAAGGCTGCACACAGATCATCCACAATATCACTACAAACATTCCTTTTAAACCATTTAATAGGGGTTTGTAAAAAGAATATTGTTCCTGCAGCACATTAAATACCAGACTATGCTAAATTTATTAAAATGAATACAGTAAAGAATGGTTTATAATGTTTCTACTGTTAGATGACCTTAAAGAGCACATGTAATTTAAACACATTCAGACAGCTTAGATATTGTGCTTTATTGACTAAAATAGATTATATTTTTGTATAACACTAATTACATTCATTATAAATTTAAAAAGAAAATTTCTGAATGGGAAAATGCGTTTGCCTGTAGTTGGAAATCTAATGATACAAAACAATGTATGTAAGGAATAGGAAGTAAGAAAGGCTTGTTGTATAAAAAAACTAAATGGGTTACCGTATTTTCACGACCATAAGGCGCACCGGACTAAAAGGCGCACTCTCAGTTATGTGTCCCATTTCTGTATTTAACACACACATAAGGCGCACCGGACTATAGGGCGCGTTTTTTATATACAGGTACATGTCCTCTACTACCTTTAAATACCTCTACTGCGTATTTAAAAATACAGCGGGGGCAAAACTGAGTATGACTGTGCTTTATTCATGTATTTATTACAAAGTATTAATCAAACCTGGCAGCTGGCCGTGAGACAGACACATCGCAGATGACACAGCGCTGTGATCACTCCTAAATTAACTTAAAATCCTGAAACCTGCCGACGGAATATGTTCGCTTTTATTACCGGTATCCTGGTGCCTGCAGCTAAAATTATTTAGATGAAAAACACCTGCCAGCAGCCGCGGTGAACGAAAGGATTTCTCCTGTCGGCGCACCGCTGGTATGTGGGGGTCTGAGCGCCTCCAACAGAAATAGATAATCTGGATGAACTGACTGCAATTATTAAGTTTTCAGGTGGACTTTCTCACTTAAAAACATATTAAAACTACTTTATTCCAACTGATCACAGCAAATATAGCTGCAAGATTTAGATTATTTGGATGAAAAAACACCTGCCAGCCACCGCGCTGAAGAGGAGGAGACGCGCTCAGAGGATGCTGTTGAATTAAGTTTTCAGGTAGAAAAATAGAGCTGGAGCAAAACTGAGTATGATTGTGCTTTATTCATGTATTTATTACAAAGTATTAATCAAACCCATCAAAGTCATCATCCTCTGTTATCCTCAGCATTCCTCTGAATAAAACAGCTGCGCTAAATCAGACATGCCAGTTTCCCCTTCTGCGCTGTCAGTCACTTTCCGTGCAGCGCAGCTCCTCAGAAATAATGCCGGCTTTTGCGAAAGCTTGAACAACAGAGCCAGCAGACACAGTCCATCTACAATCCATCCGCAAACGGTGGCGTAACTTGCACGGCGCTGCCTTCCACTTATCCTGAAACTGTGGTCTCAGTCTGTCATCCATCGCTCCCACGCCGCTCGCAGCCTTACTGTGAACGGCCGCTCCACACCGATGTCGAGCGGTGGAAGTTCCTTTGTCAGACCCCCGAGATAACGGCGAGCACAGCGTTCATTTGATTCATCTTTTTTTCACATCGGCTGTGAGATGGGCACGCAGCGATGGGGATGCGTGGAAAAAAGCACCTGGTCTCCTCACATACACCTGCCTTTCATCATCTCCTCATCAATCCAGCCTTTTTCATTTGCGTTAATATCATATGTCATCAGAGCGCTGTCTGTCTCGCTGTCAGTTCCCAGATCAGCTTCTCTGATTGGTTGATGCGGCGCGTCCAGCAGCAAAACTTCAATTTTTCCATCTGAGCAGCAGCAGCGCGTTGGCGGTGCGTCAGATGCTTAAACGCTCCCGACGTGCTGCACCAAAACGCGCTGCAGGACCTTTTGCTGCACCTATATGCGCGTCAACCATTGACTTTGCATGTAAACTCGCTGCTTCTGCTGCACCTGCTGGGTCCGGTTCACACCGATGTCGAGCGGTTGAACAGCGAGCACAGCGTTCATTTGTTTCCCCATGTTTTTCACATCAGCTGTGAGATGGGCACGCATGGAGGGGTGGAAAGAGGGGTGGAAAAAAAACAGCTGGTCTCCTTACATTCAGCCACTCTTTCATCATCTCCTCAATGAGGTGGTCTCAAAAGTCGCAGTTACAACACACATAGGGCGCACCGCACCATAGGGCGCACCGCACATTTTGAGGGAAAAAAAAGACGTTTAAGTGCGCCTTATAGTCGTGAAAATACGGTAAATCATCTTTGAGTAGATTTGCTTCTCTGTATGCCTAATGAATTTTCAAAATAAAGGCTGCACAAGATTAGGAACGCTAGTGAGAATTTAGTTGAATATTGCAATAAGGACCTGTAAAAAAAAAAAAAAAAAGAAAAAAATTTACTCAATTATACTGACCTCTTTTAGCATTTGGTTCTTGCAAACATAGACCCCCCAGATAACGAGTAGTTTATGTGGGAATTGGGAGGAAAGAAATAAATAAACCGTTTTTTCTTAATTAACTGCATGCTTTCATTGAAAATAGTTGCAGCTGCTCTTCAAATTTGGGCAATTTTTGACTTGTATCAATTAAGGCTTCTTGATGCACATTTTTGATTATGTTGGTAATTTATCAACCTATGGGATGTTATTTTGATTAATCATGATCAGTCAGATGAATTATTTCAACCCTAATTTAAACCCTCCCGAATAGTTTTCATCAGCAATAAACAGCGGGTATCACTAAATGTATTTACTGGCCAAGAGTCCAAATGCATTAAGGTACTGATTTCATTATCTAATATATAAAATTTTCCAAGCAGCTTAATGTGATAATTATATTGCATAAAAGCATTCTGTGGCATTGTACGGCCGGGTTGGCACACTATGGAAGGCCATCAAATGCATTTAGTTCACATTTTCTCACAAAGATTTAAGGAACCTTCTGATAATGATGTAAACTGACCTTAAGTATTCTTTTTGTTTAGAGTTTTATGTTTAATTTCTGCTTACTATAACTTAACTCTGTATGCAGAAAATGGTGAGAATACATTCTGTGCATGTTCAATACTGAATGGAGTTTAGAACCACTGTGTGATGCATATTAAACAAGGAGAGATTCATGGACTCAGACAGCAGTCTTAGTTTAATGTGCTTTTAATCTTTTGACATGTGAATTTTCTTCAGATCTTATCCACTGCACCAACGAGATGAACGTGAACATTCCCCAACTGGCTGACTCTTTATTCGAGAGGACCACCAACACCAGCTGGGTGGTTGTGTTCAAGTCGCTGATCACCACACACCACCTCATGGTGTACGGCAATGAGGTGAAATGATTTAGCCGCTCTTGCTCTCATCATCATATAATATGGAGGATTTTGTCTTCAACTTCTTTTCTCCACTTACAGCGTTTTATCCAGTACTTGGCATCAAGGAATACACTTTTCAACCTCAGCAACTTTTTGGACAAGAGCGGGCTACAAGGTAACGATGCAACTGAAGTACTTTTTAAAAATATTTAAGTAAAAGGACCAGAAGAATAGAATAAAAGCTAATGATTGTTTTCTCCCTGCTGTGTGATGTCGCAGGTTATGACATGTCCACATTCATCAGGAGGTATAGTCGGTACCTAAACGAGAAAGCAGTGTCCTACAGACAGGTTGCCTTTGACTTCACAAAAGTTAAACGAGGGTAAGATTAAACTGGTTTCCTCTCTGATCAATGCAGGATCATTGCAAACCATGACCTGTAGCGATAAGCAATCACCAAATGAGTCGTATAATGAATAATAATCGCTTGAAGATTTGAAATGAGCTGGAATATTTCTATTTGCACTCCCAGTTTGTTTTCTCTCTCTCCTTCTCTCACTTCCAAAGAGAGACGAGATTACAAAAGGTTTCACTTTGATGCAATGATTCAAATTCCCCCTGCATTAATTTCCATTGCATAAATGCCATACCTCAGAATTTAGCATGATAGTCCAATGACTAATGAGTAGCAAGCCAGAGAAAGGCTAGTTGAGATTTTTTTGGGGGGGGACACTTAACCTGATATGGTGATATGTCACATATTTTATGATGCAAGCTAAATGTGGCAATAAAATAAATGTGCATCTACAACTAAAACATAATCATAACTCTTCAGTATCTACAACCTACAGCACGAGGCTGTCTGTCTTTCCAACAGTGTGTGATGAAGTGTTTTTAATTCAACAAAAAAAAAAGGAAATGGGAAAAGGTCAGTGCAAAATGGCGCACATTCCGAGACTGCGTGATCTGACTAGTCACTGGAGAGATGTTGCCCTTTGCAACACATTTCTCAATGCTGGCGTTTTTGGTGATATCACACATCTGAAAGTATCCCAGAGTACGATATGCCTGGGAAAACATGCGTCATATAAGTTGAGACATCAGCTTTTATTTAAATGAAGGGCTTTTCTTGTCAGTTTGAACATTTTGTTTATCGAGTAACTTTTTTTGAGCGTTTACTGAGACTTCATTATCTATTTTATCTATAGTTTTGGTTCTGTCTTGTTTTAACTTCCATTGTGTTTTTTATGGCGTTGTCCTTGTGTCACTTGATAATGGTCTCCAAACTGTTGGCCAGTAAGATATATCATCATGGCAGGTCTAGTTAAACAGACTCTTTCTCTATAGATGTTGAAACAAACTGGTTTCTTTTTTATTTAACAAAATATTTTTAATTTGTAAACTGAGGTTTTTCATTTGTTTTTATTCTGTTATGTCAAAAGATTTAATTTTGTTTGACAAACAATCAACTTCCAGGTATTTTGACAGTAATATTAGATCTATCAAACTAATTAGAACATAAGTTGTCATTGTAAACTCCTAAAACAAAGGAAAAGTGCTTTAGATCAATATCAGTATTTTACAAAAGGGAATCAGGAATGGGCTACATCACACGTACATGCAAATTTTGTCCTTTGGCTACCTCTACTGCCAGTTCAGAGGCTGAGAGAGGAAATGGAGGAGAACAACTTCTCAGTTCTCTCCTCTGAGAGGAAAATGAATAACCAATAGGCTGTGTTCGCGCTGAAGACAGTTGAGCAATGCTCAAAACTCTGTATTGGAGCTTTGCTTTACGTTGCAAAAAAGGCTATAGCCATACTGTTAGCCCAGTGTTATACCAGCAACTCTTAAGTAAACTGGAAACTGCAACATTAACTCAGCGACTTTTTAAACAACAGACCTGTGTTCAATTCACATGATAAAGCCATACTTCAGGTAAATGTGTGCTTCATTAACCCTTTCTAATGTTTATAGGACCATCTTGAAATATTTATTTTCAATATGGTGCTAAACTTTGCATTTCTTTTATTATTCCTATTGTTTTATGTTTAGTAGGGCTGGATGAAACTTGTATCCTATATTGCTAAATTTCAGTCAAAATCATTTTCTTCTGATATTGATATGAATAATATGAAAGTCACAGGAAAAACTGCCAAGAAAGAAGACGGCAAAATCCTGAACAAACCTCTAAACATTTTTATGCCAAGTCAATCCGTGTATCATTCGTTCTTTCTATTTTCAATTGCCAATCAAAAAACAAAAAATAAAAAATTGACTGGTTATTTTGTTTTTTGTTTTTTATGGTTAAACCAAAAACGAAAAAAGGATTTGTTTTTCATATATCAATCCTAAGCTCAGATCAATAATACGAAATGGAAAAACGGACAGCGACGCATAATTTGATTTTAATATTTAATCGGTACAGTTTACGTGACCCGGAAATAGCTCTTTGCGCAGCAGTTGGGGTAATGAAGTGGCTACCATGGCGACGCTAGAACCATACACTATGTTGATCGAGAAGCTGTTTGTTGTTGCTAGTTAAAAGTACAGTGCACAGAAAAGTTTCAAGACAAAAGTTATACCTGGAAAATCCTGCTGATTTTCTCCGTTGTCATATCCTCCTCCTTAAGAGTCACACGCTTGGATCCTCGAAATAACACGTAACTGTCCATGGCTGATAGGTCCGACTGCCTTATCTGGTGCAGCTTGATCGAACGTGGTGGGGGTAAGCCAATTGTTTTTTTAGCTAACGCTCCACCAAACTTCCGGGTCACGTAAACTGTACCGATTAAATATTAAAATCAAATTATGCGTTGCTGTCCGTTTTTCTATTTCGTATTCTTGATCTGAGCTTAAAATTGATATATGAAAAAAAAATCCTTTTTTCGTTTTTGGTTTAACCATAAAGAACAAAAAACAAAATAACCAGTGAATTTTTTGTTTTTTGATTGACAATTGAAAATAGAAAGAACGAATGATACACGGATTCAAGTCCATGAAACTCCTTTAATATAACATTTTAGAAACTAGTTTTAATCTGTTTCAGCTACAAGCTGAACAGATGAAATGCTCATTTAAACCAGAGGATTATCTCTCCTACTCATTTCTTGCCTCCATCAGTGTTTTTGTAACCACCTCCCTTTATTTCTTTCGAGGTTAACTTTCATATGTTCAAGAAGACATAAGCCTTAAGGATTACATCCATAAATTGTTATAATAGTAATAGTAGTAGTTATAATGTATGGTGAGCAGACCTCTGATGTGTTACATTAATAGTGGTATCATGTCTCCACACAGTGTCGACGGTGTGATGAGGACCATGAATACAGAGAAGCTGCTCAAAACTATACCCATTATTCAGAACCAGATGGACGCCCTCCTCGATTTTAATGTGAGTTTGAACTGTAGCCTATGTTAATCTGGCAGTTTGTTTGGTTTAAAGCTGCTGAAGTTTCCAGGTCATATATGTTGTTTTTTTTATACACCAACATTGCACATGGTTTGTATCTCAATAAATCACAGTGCAGCGTCTTTAATATAAATAGTCCTGTCCGAATGCCTTTCCTTAGGTCAATGCCAACGAGCTGACTAATGGAGTCATCAATGCAGCCTTCATGCTCCTCTTTAAAGACTCCATCAGGCTCTTTGCTGCTTATAACGAAGGCATTATCAACCTGCTCGGTGAGACCTTTAAAACCACTTTTTCTTTGACTCCATAAAGAATTTCCTCTGCTGCTTTATAATGCATGCCCTTCTTACAAAACAGAAAAGTACTTTGACATGAAGAAGACTCAGTGTAAAGAAGGCTTGGACATTTACAAAAAGTTCCTGACTCGCATGACCCGGATATCAGAATTCCTCAAAGTAGCTGAGGTAGATTAGACTTCATTTCACTCATAGAATCGCATTAAAAAAGCCTGACTCTTCATAAATATATACTTTTTATCTTAACAGCAGGTGGGAATTGACCGAGGTGACATCCCAGACCTTTCACAGGTAAGCTATAGCTTGTCAAATCAGAGTGCTAATCCCCCCCCCCCCCCCCCCCCCCCCCCCCAAAAAAAAAAAAAAGCCATGCCTGGCTTTGCTTTTCTCATTTTGTTTTGTGCTGACAGAGCAGAGATTCACGCTAAGAGGGTATTCAATTGAGACACATGGATTTAGAGATGCACCGATCAGATACGCAGTTTTTGTCAAACCTTTTGCACCAGTAACCATTTTGGTGCACTCTAACGTTCTAAAAACTGTACTACAAAAAAATAATCAACTAAGATTCAAATTGTGTATTTCTATTCCTGCTGTGAATGATGATGCGTTGGTCATATCTGAGCCAATGTTTTCATCAGTAAATATGAACATATTTTATGTATGAAGCATTTTTTTTATGGCAATAACAAGATGGGGACAAAATAACAATTCAATTCAGTTTCTTTATGTAGCACCAATTCACAACACACGTCATCTCAAGGCGCTTTACAGTTCACCAGATCATACAGTCAAATTCATTCAAAGTTTTCTATCTAAGGAAAACCAGTTGATTGCATTGACTCGAATGCAATCCTTCACACTAGGCATGCTTGTAGCGACAGTGGAGAGGAAAATCTCCCTTTTAACAGGAAGAATGGCTCTCTGACTAAAACATGGTGAGATGTGCATAGGTTTTTGTTGAGATAAAAATTTTAATAGGTGGTTTTTTTTAAAATAAAAATTGGTTGTATTTCTGTCTATTATGCATGTCACCAGTCAACAATAAGCTTTGGGCTGCATCATTTTCTTTTTTGGCCTCCTGAAAGCAGCCACTGCATATTAAAACCATAAGGTTTGTGTTGGGAAACCACTAAAGAACCTATAGATAGGATTTAATTCTCATTCATTCAAAATACATTTTGTATGACACCAAAAGCATTGCAGCGACACGCAGCAAACTACTAAGGTTCGATTAACAAACCTTTGTGGGGAAGGTAAGACCCCAATAACTTAATGGGCAAGGTTTGCTTGGTTCTCTGTATTGGTTGCTCTAACATTAGCTCATTGATTTGTGTGTGTTGCATTTGAAAACACAGGAATTTATGGCTGGACAGCAAGTATAAAGTTCAACAAAGTTTGCCTCCTTGTTTATGGCCTCTCAGCTTATTATGCTGTGTTTACCAGATCAGGTTATATGTACTCCATTGTTATAGGTAGTCTAGTAGCTTTAAGCTAAAAGCCATATAGCTAAAAGCTATATGGTGACCAGATGTTTTGATTTCTGGGAACTGTCCCAGTTCTAGACCACTTATTCACAACACAAGCTGTCCATGGTTTTAGTTTTTTTATGATTTCTTGCAGACCATTTTTATGATCACATGTAGGCGTCACAGAAACATTTCCATCTCCAATAGATGTCTGTCCCGTGATATGTTGAATGTGGATTTATTCATATTTGTTAGGCTGATCCTTACTGAGATCAATGCAGCAGAATTTTAATTGAACTGGTGAGTTGTGAGGTATATTTTCAAAATTAGCTATGACTGGTTTTTGATATTAATTGTGATTTGTGAACCATTATGCCAGTACCTCATTAAGGAGTCGATAAACGGAAAGCTGATTGTACCTCTATTCTCTCTAACAGAGAATAGAGGTATTATCATCCAAATCAATGGCATTTCTTCTGTCGTATTGGCTCATAGCTCCAAGTTCAAAAAAATTCAAAAAGTTATCTTATAATACCTTATAATAACCTACTGTATATTTTGTCTAACTGATCTATTTAAACACATAATTCGATGTAAATATATTCACATGTGTGCACATATGTTTAAAGATATAATGAATATATTTAATTGTTTTGGGTTCACATGTTAACACATTATTGTACCTTGTATACCAATATAGAATACACACAAATTGTATACTTCCTTAAATCAGACTAAAATTTTGTTGAATAACTTTCACATTTGAGATGACTTGATTGTGGCTAAGCCTCATCTTCATCAAAAAGATTAAGACTTTTACTAAAACTGCACTGGCTACCAAAAACTAGACTGATTTGAGCAGAGATTACATAGTAGCCATAGAACTAGTCTGAATAATGTTTGAAATTAAAAACCAAAGGATGATGGGATTACCATTATACCAGGCTGTAGGATCATACATAGAGAATGGTTAACGCAGATCATTTTCCAGTAGGGTCAACTTAGTAAATATGATTGCTTTTAATAATGATTTAATAGCTTCAGACATTATACAAAATGACCTTTACTGACTACCACGATCTTATTTTTCATTTTGCTTGACCTCATAGCATTAAGATGGAATCCACAAGCAGACACTTCGTCTTTGACCTAAGTTAACTGTACAATGTTGATAAAAGACATTTTAATATTGTTGCGAGGAACATTTATTGACCATATCCTTCTTTGTTACCAAGATTCAAACTGTCTGAATATTTTATTGGCATGCGACTTATAAATTCATCCCTATTTGAAATTATAGTAAATATTATCAATAATGCTGATACTATTATAATTGAGCACGGCGATTATTGCTATGATGATAAGTTGTGCAGCCATTTGTTGGAACTTGTGGTGTTGAAAACTCCAGACTCTGTTTCTGACTTCCTTTTTAGCGTAAGCCGACACTTGTGCAAACAAGAGGGCTCATGGACGCTAGCCAAAGCAAAGAATTTACATCAGTAACCTAAAAAATATTTTCATAATAAAACACAGGATGTCTAAGAGGCTGGATATAGCATAACGGCAATAAAAACAGTGTGTCTGCAGTAGGATGTAAATCATTATCATAGCTCTGACATTTCCAAATAGCTGCCAATATTTCCAAACATAACTTTTTTTCCCCCCAATTTATAGGCACTTAAAGTTAGTTGTTAAAAAATTCCTTGTTCCTTTGAAATTACTTCTTCCGCTTCACTTTTAAACACCTTTTCTGAAACTGACCTGAGAGGACTTTAATACAGAACCTTGTATCATATATTTTTGACCGGACTTTTAGGTTAACCTCGATTAAAATTAAAAACCATTATGTTTCTGTCAACAGTCAATTTCTCGATGCATCTCTGATTTTGCATGTTTTTTCTTTTCGGACGCATGATGCTAAAGAGGGTATTTTTCCTCTTGTTGCTTCTGATTCTCCTTCGGCTCTTCTAACCCGTGTCTGCTTCAGTAAATAAAGGTGTTAAATCCACATTGTAGAAGAAATCAGCTCATGAACGCTGCACATTTGACAGTTTTATTTCCAATTTGAAGTAACATTAAGTAAAACTGCACTTGCATTTTCATAAATATTTTACCCCAAAGAATTTGAGTTGAAATGCATTTCCCTCTGACTGTCACCACCTTTATATTCTGTATTTTCCCCCCTTATCTTTCCACTTTAGTTCACGGTTTGTGTAAGTACTGTTCTTTCACTCTTCTCTGTTCGTGACTTGCCTCAGTGTTGTCTCTATGCATGCCTCTGCTCTGACTCCTGTCTCCCACATCGTGGTGAAAAGCAGTTTAAGATAAAAAAAAATAGATAAACACCTGCTGTAATAAATTTAGTTTGACTTCGATCGTATCGTTGAGTTAAAACCCAGCGTAGCTCCTCTCCTGTTAAAAAAAAATGTCTGCCCTGTTATGCTTTAGACATGGCCGATTCAACAACAGCCGTGTTGTTGAAAGAGCTCTGGTGCAGAACATCATCCCACGCAGATTTTAGTCTCATCCAAAGTAGCTTTTTGGCTGGATGCAGTCATTAATCAGTGGTCGGTGACTTATATCCTGGACCTGGTGTAATTCTCTTTTAAAAATCGGCTGATAATACGTCAAATTGTTTTTGCCGTATTTCACAGGGTTTTGTGTTTTCTGTTCCATCTTGGTTGCCCACCACTGTCTGTTATAGTGTTGATGTCCGTACATAAAACATCTTCCACGTCTCAAGTAGTTGCTGACACTGTGCTTTCTGTCATGACAGGCTCCTAGCAGCCTCCTGGAAGCCCTTGAGCAGCATTTGGCCTCTTTAGAGGGGAAGAAAGTGAAAGACTCCACTGCAGCCAGCAGGTATAATAACTCTGCTATTGTTGGCTGGTCAATAATACTTTTCTAATATGCTCCGTTTCCTTCTTTTTTTTTCTTTAATAAATATATTGTTTGACCTGCAGGGCCAGTACTCTATCAAACGCAGTGTCATCACTGGCCAGCACAGGGATGTCTTTCACTAAGGTGGATGAGCGGGAGAAGCAGGCGGCCCTCGAGGAAGAACAGGCCCGACTCAAAGCCCTTAAGGTTTGTGTAGTTTCTGTATGTTAAAGATCTAATCCATGATTGAGTCTGTATTGTTTTTTTCTTTACTGGTACCTTTCTTTTACGTTGGGTAGGAGCAAAGGCTCAAAGAGCTGTCAAAGCGGCCGTCCTTTTCCACCACTGATACATCGCCGGTCTCCACCACCGGGGGCACCATCAGCACAGCACCAACCATTGACCTCTTCTCCACACCCAGCTGCTCAAATGGGTACTCCTTACACATAGTTACTCCATCAGTTTAAGAGGCAGAGCTACTGTGGGGATTATTTATTTATTTTTTTTTCCAATTTGTTCTTCAATTTGCTCTCTAGCATCAAGTTAATATATTTGTTATTTGAAATATTTCTGTGTGCACAGTGAGAAAATTCTTTTAACTTTCCTGTGCTAGAAATAAGCAATAAAATTTTTTTTTTTTTTTAAAGTGAAGCGTATTTTTAACTATACTAGTTTCTAAGTTGATCATCCAATAATCTATGATGTATTGCTTCATTGGGGTGTAAATATGTCATGACACAGGTGCAGCCTCTGTAATGGTACCTCAAAGCTCCACATTTTACTGCAAGACCAAAGGCTGGAATTTGACCCATTTTCTGAAAAGTTTGAAAAGAAAAATGTGGAAAAGCTGTGTTTTTTTTTTTTTTTTTTTCCATCTCCAATATTGTAAATGAACAAATATTAATAATTCAGAATAAGTAGTGACGCATTTAAATTAGTTCTGGCTAATAAATAAATTGAACTGCATCAATTTAGTGTGATTAGATGCAATAGCTCAGACGTTAATCAATACTGTTTTCAATTGAGACCCAAATCCAGTCCTCTTCTCCTTCTTACGGTCATCACCATAAACGCTGAAATGCTGTCATTGGTTGAGACTCCCCAGCGATGCCCATCCAAAGCAAATGCTTATCAACAACTCACCCTCCTAGGACCCATGGATTTGATTTTCTGTGAATATAAGGGGCAACGTTTTTTTTTTTTTAAACTTGGATTGAAATAATTGTTAGCATTTAGCAGCTGATGTTTTAAGGCATTTAAATACCTTTACCTTTGATTTACCAAATAAATAAGATTTTAGATTCTATCAATATTTTAATTTACGGTGCACATATTTAAAAATGGCCACCCCACAACATTTTTGAGTTAAGTCACCTTTTATATTCTGGTTTCACTGGGACTGGGGGTTTTCAGCCAAATCCTACCTATGCTGTGCAATTTTCATAAATTAAACTAAATTACTAAAAATTTTGAAACTTCTGCTATAAATTATTCAAGTTGGCAGAAAAGCCATGACATGATCTTATTACACAATTGGAGACCACTTTCAGTCTTTCCTTGTTTCATGAGTTTTGGAACGCAAAGACTTCACAAAGTTGGGAGGTCAGTGTAATAATTTGGACCTTACTCAAAGGTCTGAATATTATGAAACTGCAAAAAAAAAAAAAAAAATCTGTAAATCCGGAGTTTGAAATCCATCTAAATCCTCTCTGGCTGCAATGAGGTGACACAACCTCAGACTAAACATGTCATTAGTTGGGTTTTACTGTTATGTGCGTCTCCTGCTCTTTAGGATGGTGTACATGTAGACACTTCCTCATATTTTTATATACACTGAATGTGTTGCTGGCTAAAGGAGCCTTTTGTTCAGTTACCCATACAGAATTATGGTTCAGAAGAATCCCTCTAATTAAATGGTCTTTTTTTTCTCTCTCTCTGTCTCTATTTTTCTGTGTGTCTGCAGTGCGGTCAAGATGGAGAGTGACCTTTTTGACCTGCAGCCAACCTTCCAGCCCTCCATGCAGTCAGCCTCCACGGGACTCCCAGTAGCCACAGCGTGGGCAGGTAAACCTTTGTTTTGTTCCTCTTCTCATCGTCCTCCAGCCAACGCCGTGGCTCTGCATGCTATCCTTCTCTTGTTGCTGTTGTCTGACTCTGTTCTCCTCCTCCTCTCCACTGTCATTTTCTGTCTCTCTCTTTTCTCTTTCCTCTGCCTGCATAGATCCTTTCACCTCTACTGAAGCTGGAGATGATTCCATGCCAAACCTTAATCCTTTCCTGTCAAAACTCGTTGTTGATGCCACTCACTTACCTGTCGTGTCTTCAGACGGTGTTAGCTTTTCCTCTAGGACATCTGGTCATGAAATGTTTGGTGGTAACAACTCATTTTGTTTCTCTTCCAACGTCTTGTCTCTCTTTCATATTTCTGTAGTTAAGAGCATGATTATCCTGCATGTTCAATGTTTTTTCTGTACAGATCTTTTTTCTCTACCTATTCTTACTGTTCTTACCAAGTTCAGATTAATATTAAAGGCCGACTTCTTCAGCTGCAGCTTCTCAGTAAAATATCTCTGTGATGTTTTGTTAGGCCTTATTCTGCATAACCAGCTGAAGGGACTCTGAAACCTTTACATGCTCCGCTGTACCTGCTGGGCGTTCAGTACTGCTCACTTTAAATGAAATCTACTGGGTACATTTACAGGAAGTGAGCGTCCAGCTTCAAATTTGTGTTTTAAAGTCTAAGGTGCTAACAGGCGAGGAAGAAGTTCTGCTGGGTGAATTGGAACATCTTTCTAGCTTTCAGTGTCATTGGTCTAGTTTTTTTTTTAGTTTTTTTTTTAAATAACCTTTTTATTTTATTTTTTCACTTTTATTAATTATTTCTTTGTTTTTAAATAAAATGAAAAAATCTTGATCCCATGAGGAAAAAAAAAATTCACCAAAGCATTAATGCTCAGGTTCTATGGGATAACCTTTTCATAGGGCTGGATGTTTACAAACCAACAATAAGATCTAATTTTTAAGATCAGGGGTTATACAATACTTAATTCAATATGTCTTTCTTTTCAGAAAGTAAATGTAGTAAGTTAACTCTTAATCAAAGCTTTGACAAAAATGTAAATTTTTAACAAATAGCTGTAGTCTGAAAAAATAGTAACCTGGCATATAAAAAAATATAAACATAATCTATCGTGGATCCCAATACGGATAGTAAAGTCTGACACTTTAGATTATGAATCAGGATTACTTATGATTAGACAGTTATTTTAAAAGAAAGCCCTTAGCCTATTTATTTGTTAACTCCTTTAAAGAAGTTAGTATTTCGTGAGTTCTTATGAACGGTCTTTACAGGTAGAGTAATGCTTCAAATATTTGGTAAAAAGTTCAAATTCTTTTTAAAGTAAATTTAAAAAAAAAAAATTTAGTTTTTGCACACATACAGGTTTACTTCTAAATTAAACCCATATATTTAACATTCATGTGCGGAGCTAAATTTTAGAACATAACATTCCCCTCACTCTTATTCTGCTTGGTATTAATGGGGACACATTTTCCTATTTGGTTACTGTAGAGATGAAGGAAAAGGCGGTTTGCACCAAAACTTAGTCAGCACAAGTATGTCCTTGTTTTATTTATTTTGGTGCACTTAAGTACAACAAATGCGAAATGCAATAATCATTCATATTAATGCAATTCTAAGGTGTTTATTTATGCAAGATATCTTAGGCAGAGATTAGATTAAATAAAAACTAAGTAATTATTAGCATTTCCAAATGGTCATGTTGTAGAAAAACCTTTATTTACTGACAACTAAAACTTGTTTTAAACCTCTATGAACTGCCACTTTAAAAGGCATCTAATATAGTGAGTCCACATCATTTATCCTGGTTTATGGTTGACTGGTCCAGACGGCCAAGTTATGTAATTTTAGCGCCTATGCCTGCCTGATTTTCCACACTGTTCACTTAGGAGAGCGTATAACTACGGGGACTGCTCTCAGCGGGAAAAATATGGTTGAATTTCACCATCGCTAGCAGATTATCAACAACGTTTTTGAAAGAAGTTAACTCTCACTCTTAGTTTAACAAGAAGAGACTTTGAAAATGATGGAAAATGCTGTGTTTTCTACTTCTACTTGTCTGGTGCTGTAAGCTTTCAGTTTGGTTCTTGAACGCACCTTAGTCACCAAAATATTAGGTACGTGGGAGGGGGCACCGCATTGGAGTATTAAAACTTCAAACTTGTTTCGCACAAAACATATGAGTGTCCAGCATAACCCAGCCTTGAGTCAGCTGTTTAGGAACGCACAGTTTTTTTTTTTAGTCTGTTACTGAGACATTGGTGAAAGAAAGGTGTTGCACAATTTTAGCTTTGATAACTCCGAGTATGAATTTCATGTTGTTCCACAGATTGTTTTGCTGATGAGTGAGACAATCGTTATTGATCTGTGTCTTACTGTCCAGCATTTTCCTGATGGATTTCACTGTCTTGACGTTTTTTGCTAAAGTCTGCTGCTCTTGTTGTTAAGGCTGTCCATAATTTTGCCCCCGTGTTTTATCATAAGAAGCAGCTTTAGTTTTTTTAATGCCCGACTTTTCCGAATTCAAAACAGTGGCATAGGCTATGGGAAGTGTTGTGGCATCTTTCACCCTTATTTCAAACGTTTTGTTACTCAGTCTTTTTGTTTTGTTTTTTTTCCCTATCATTTTTGCCTATTATTTACTTTCCCAAAAAAGGATCTCATAGTGCAAGTTGGTTCAGCCTTTAGAGTAGCGTCAATTTGGATCGGTTACTAGACTTGATTTAGCACGATTGCAAAAACTATGAAATTATATACATTTTTATTTTTGTTTGTATATAACAGATGATTTATAGCCAAAATGTATTTGATAATTTGTTATACCTTAACTTTTAGTAATTTTCTGCTAATATTGAATTAGACTATAGTCTAATTTGATATAAATAAGAAAATAAATAAATTTTTTTCACTCTGCAGAGTTAGTGATTCATACCAACTCTCTGAGGGATCGTATTAAAGTGCAGCTGATTTTACATCTGCCATCTTCTGTGTATAAGCCAGATCTGATCCATGTCCTGCTGTTTATGCCCGTTTAGCTGCTGCTGCTCCTCTGTTCATGAACATCTTGCTGTTGCTTTGTGGTGCTCAAATGATGTAGAGCTTTAAGTTTAAACCTGTTCTTACACTATTTTTTAATTCTCCAGATCGTTACAATCCCTTTACTGACACAAACTCATCCGTTTCAACCAATTACAAACGCACAGTGCGGATAGAACACTCCATCTCAGGTACTATGATGGCTCACCGCCTTAACCTATGTTTGCTGGCAAACATAGACTGCTATTCAAAACTCCACTGAGCCATTGTTGGAGAACTATAACAGACTTCTTGGAAATAAAGGAAGAGTTTTACATTTTGGGATATTTATTATTATTTTCTAACTTCAAATACTGTTTGCAAAGTATAGGCAAATCAACTAAATAAACATAAAACCAATAAATGCGTGAGAAAAAATATCAAAATAATGCAAAACTATAATCCCTCCTAGTGGCAACTTTCTAGCTTCGAAACAAATAAGAAATCAGTAAAAACGTGGTAGTTTGTAACAAAGGGAAACAAAATAAACATCCTGGGAATTCTTATTCACAAATCCAACATCTGTATCAGACTAGAGATGTCCCGATCCAGGTTTTTCCACTTCCGATCCGATACCGATATTGTTTTTGGACTTCCGATCCGATACCGATAATGGCCGATACCAGCCTATCCGAGCATGTATTTAAGTTTAAGTTAAAGTATTTAGCCTTAGTTGTAAGACTCATGTTGAAAAGGGTTTTAGTACTCTTGATAACATCTAGCCAGCTAAATTAGGTGAGATTGAATAAAGCACAATGATTGGTAACAACAAACTTACCTGTTTATTATGAGATAAACACAAACTGGACAAAATTATGAATAGCAATCTGAAATTGCACAGTGAGCAGTAAAACCGTAAACAGTTAAAGGTGCAAGTATTGCTGTAAGTTTTAATAAAAATGCAAAACAGGGGAACACTGGCGCAAAATAGTGGAATGGATCGTTTCAATCGGCGAAACTGGAAAATACGGACCGGATTTTTAAAAAAAAACTGGATCGGCAGTCTGGATCGGCATTTTACATGCTTTGCCGATACGCATTTTTTTGCCAATATCGGCGTCCCGATCCGATACGTGGATCGGATCGGGACAAGCCTATATCAGACTAGATCTGTTTCTTAGTCTGAATCTTATAGAGGATTGTCACATCTATGATCTGTTTTAACAAAATGTAAACAAGAACAAGAACATCCTCCAAGAATGGTGAGTTCGTATTTTCTTTCAGCATGATCGGGTCTTAATGCAAATACCTAAATTAAGTTGTGATAAAGTAAACCTTAAAATCATGACTCCCCTGACTTAATGGGGATCATAGCCTTCACGTTGAAGACGTCTAATCTAAATGAGTGTAGTGTCTTTGCAGGTTAAATAAATCGTCAGGGTCAGTTGAGCTGGTGTGGGATGATCAGCAATATTCCTGCCATTCGGATGTCGTCGCCCATTAGCTGATGAATCACTACTCCTTTTTTTTTCTCTCCATCTATCACCCTTATGTAAAAAGTGCATGCTTAAAATCAAGAAGACCAATTCCCAAAATGTTTAACTTAACCTTTATTACCTTCTGGGTTGCTACATTTTTGTGATGTCGTGTTTTATTTTTATAATTATTTAGCAACAACAGAGAAAAAAAACACCCTGTCAATTTTAAAAAGATGAAAGCACTTCTCGTATTTCCTGTACTGCTTCTGTCATTCCTCACCTTTTTCTGTCCCTGACGTGCTTTTACTCCTCTTTTCTTTCTTCCCGTTTCTCTCCTCTTACTCTTGCTGCTTGATGTGGCCTGTCAGACTCCTTCTGTGGTCCAGCCTCCGTTGCTCAGCATCTCCCACATCAGGCTCCCTTCCCCACTGAGCCCTCTACTGTAGCAGGTCTATTCAGAGGTAGAGTATTCTAGGCTCTCTCCAGCAGATCAAATCCAATTTTCTGCTCTGCTGAAGGAATCCATCTTCTCTCTATGAGAATCTTGTTTGGAACTGCGGTCCAATCTTGTACCTCTGTTAGTCACTTTTCTTATCTCTTTCCAAAGGATGCTCAACGCCTCAGGCCCCTCCACAACCGCCAGCAGGGGGACTACAGGTGGACTTTGAGTCTGTTTTTGGAAACAAAGCCGCCGGTAGCAGCAGCCTCAACTCTGATGGTGAGGAGCTGAAGTAAAGAGCCGCAATGGGATGTTGTTGGTTGATAGATTTTCTTTATGTTACTGAGACAATTAATGATTTCTCAGGCAGGATCCAGTACCCTGTATGAAATGTATTAACAATAGGGCTGGGCAAAAGAATCTATTTACCGTATTTTCACGACTATAAGGCGCACTTAAACGTCTTTTTTTTTCCTCAAAATGTGCGGTGCGCCCTATGGTGCGGTGCGCCTTATGTGTGTTGTAACTGCGACTTTTGAGACCACCTCATTGAGGAGATGATGAAAGAGTGGCTGAATGTAAGGAGACCAGGTGTTTTTTTTCCACCCCTCACCATCGCTGTTAATATGTAACTCCATGCGTGCCCATCTCACAGCTGATGTGAAAAACATGGGGAAACAAATGAACGCTGTGCTCGCTGTTCAACCGCTCGACATCGGTGTGAACCGGACCCAGCAGGTGCAGCAGAAGCAGCGAGTTTACATGCAAAGTCAATGGTTGACGCGCGTATAGGTGCAGCAAAAGGTCCTGCAGCGCGTTTTGAGCAGCAGGTGCAGCACGTCGGGAGCGTTTAAGCATCTGACGCACCGCCAACGCGCTGCTGCTGCTCAGATGGAAAAATTGAAGTTTTGCTGCTGGACGCGCCGCATCAACCAATCAGAGAAGCTGATCTGGGAGCTGGCTGGGAGACAGACACAGCGCTCTGATGACATGATATTAACGCAAATGAAAAAGGCTGGATGAATGAGGAGATGATGAAAGGCAGGTGTATGTGAGGAGACCAGGTGCTTTTTTCCACGCATCACCATCGCTGCGTGCCCATCTCACAGCCGATGTGAAAAAAAGATGAATCAAATGAACGCTGTGCTCGCCGTTATCTGACAAAGTCGGGTCTGACAAAGGAACTTCAACCGCTTGACATCGGTGTGGAGCGGCCGTTCACAGTAAGGCTGCGAGCGGCGTGGGAGCGATGGATGACAGACTGAGACCACAGTTTCATGATAAATGGAAGGCAGCGCCGTGCAAGTTACGCCACCGTTTGCGGGTGGATTGTAGATGGACTGTGTCTGCTGGCTCTGTTGTTCAAGCTTTTGCAAAAGCCGGCATTATTTCTGAGGAGCTGCGCTGCACGGAAAGTGACTCTGACAGCGAAGAAGGGGAAACTGGCATGTCTGATTTAGCGCAGCTGTTTTATTCAGAGGAATGCTGAGGATAACAGAGGATGATGACTTTGATGGGTTTGATTAATACTTTGTAATAAATACATGAATAAAGCACAATCATACTCAGTTTTGCCCCCGCTGTATTTTTAAATACGCAGTAGAGGTATTTAAAGGTAGTAGAGGACATGTACCTGTATATAAAAAACGCGCCCTATAGTCCGGTGCGCCTTATGTGTGTGTTAAATACAGAAATGGGACACATAACTGAGAGTGCGCCTTTTAGTCCGGTGCGCCTTATGGTCGTGAAAATACGGTAATCGATTTTGAATCGATTCCTTTAAAAATTTTGCAAAATCAATGTGTAGGGAATGAGATCCATTAGTTTTATAGTGATGCGCATGACGTTCACATTCAAATGAGATGGCGTGTGCAAATGCCGACCCAAGTAACACACTGCTGAGCAAGCTGTCCCAACTGAAGTCTGATGTCTGGAACCATTTTGGATTTGAAACAGCTAAAGATAATGTGCTGGATATTTGACATTACAGTGACTAGTGGCGCCTCGCATCTCGTGCTACAGACTATCAAGATTATTTAGCTGCAAATATAACCAATAGGTTGACTGAAGACATTAACAAAAGGGGGCTGACCAGCAAACACCCTGTAGTTGTTACAGACACGCTGCAAATACGGTTTGTGCAGTGGAGCTAATGCAGCTTATGCATCTCTGCTCTGTCACGTCTGTTTGCTCGAGTGAGACTTCACTTTTTTACTTTTCACAAATAAGTTTGCACTTTTTACAGAGCTTTGTTCACATCTCAAGTTTAAACTGTCTGATTTACAAGTTTGAACTTTGTGTTTAATATGACAGGAAAAATTAAAATGCATAAGTATTTTGAAACACAGTTGAACCACTTTCATTATTGTAAAAACAGTTTGAATTGAAATTAATCGATTTAGAACTGTATGAATCAAAATCCAATCAATTCAGGACTTTGGCGAAAATACCCAGCCCTGATTAACATCTTAGTGAGTGACCAACACAGTTGTGCTTAATGGGAAGGAAATAGAAATAATGCACGGTTTTCTGGTACATAAGAACAGCTTGTTGCCTCCCTCTGACATCCAAGAATAAAATCCTCTGCAAATAATTTCCTTTGGAGGTCACCTCATCGGAACCTAAACTTAATCTCACAATAAATAGAGCTGTTCTTTGAAGATATTAGTAAACTTCTTCATAAAGACCACGAATCGCAGCAAGCAGCTCAAGGTTACATTTTCAAGCACTTAAATTAGGCTTAAATTAAAACTCTTTAGTTTACTCAGAGCAGTGTTCAGGCCCAAATATCTAAATAAAAAGCTCACCACTCAGCAGCAAATTGCCAAGACAGGGCGGCGCGCCCAAACTGACAGGCTACTCGAGCTGCTGAGGTCCTTCTCTACAGAAGGACTTTTACTTCTCAATTCTACAAATTTAGCTTCTAAAAGAAAAAAAAATTAAAAACAAACTTTATTATCTGAAGCAAAACCTTTCCGATGTGTTCAATGGGTTTAATGTCTACATTAGTCTTCTTAGAGTTTTTCAGGGACATCTACCTCCTTACTGTTAAGGTTCAAAACAATCCTTCCATTTTATAAATGTGTAAATGATAAAACTGATTTTCTTTTACCTCAATAAAGTTAGCAATATTTTTAAATGTGTGTTTTAATCAGTCCTGTTTTTCCTATCAGATCTTGCGGGAGGCATCCTGAAACCGACTCTTGCTGGCTCCAACCTGGCGTCCAATCAGCAGCCTGAGAAGCTTGTGTCGGATGACCTTGACTCTTCCCTGGCCAACCTTGTCGGCAGTGAGTGTGGCGCTTTATGCTGTTCTGCTCTAATGAGCACACATCTTCATTAGGACAAAAAAGTTGCCAGAAAACTTAGACTAACCGCTGCTTGATGAATGTTGCCTTCCAGACCTGGGCATCGGAAATGGCACGATGAAGAAGTAAGTGCTGCTTCATGGCACGCCGTCTCAGCTCTGCGCTGCATTCTGCCGCTAACGTGAAATCTGTAATCCACAGTGACATGCACTGGAGCCAGCCAGGGGAGAAGAGGATGACTGGCGGCACCAACTGGCAACCCAAGGCGGCCCCAACTACAACCTGGAACCCCGTTTCCATGGTGACACACACATTTATGTCTGCCTCTGCCGTACTCCTCTTCAGTTTTATCTTTTTAATTCCAAACTTCTCCCCCTAAAGCGTGATCGTAGATCTAAAGCAAACTTTAAACCTTACCAGAATGTTTATATTCCTAACTTTTTATTTGGGAAAACCAACGATACAAAGTGCCTTACAAAAGTATTTATATCCCTGGACTGTGTTAGGTATCAACCATAAACCTCAGTGTTTAAACTTTGTTTGATAGAACATTGAGAATGGTTAAGGAACGATAAGGTGTCTCCCTCCTCTGTTAATAAATAATAAATTCAATTAAAAAAAATAAGATTTGAAAAGTCTGGCATGCATTTATATTCAGTGTGAGTCTTTAATCTGTGGAACCACCTTTCTCTGAACAAGGTGTGCTCCTCATCGCACCACGTTTATGTCCTTTATTAACAGAGAAGCGTGACAAGCTCAAGCAGAATTGATGGAAATGGTTCATGTGAACATCTTCTTTATGTTTTTTAAGTCTTGCAGGAGATTAGCTGAATTTCAATCTGGATTCTAACTGGGCCTGTCAGACATACCAATAGGTTTCTGTTTAAACATTCCTCTGCACCTTAAGCAATAATAGACTTTATTTTCTTCCTTGTCTTTGATCCATATGAGGTCTATATATTACTGTAGACCTACATATGTAAATAAGGTCTTTTGCCAAGTCAGTTCCTTTTACAACGCAACATCTTTTTTTGATGCCACTCTAACCCTCATCTCTCTTTTGTTACGAAAAACACAATTTATAAAACTTTAATTTGTATATATATATTTTTTTTCATTAGCGTTAATGTTTTTATTCTGCATCATCTTCTGTGGTAAGCTTAGGTAAAAATGCAGTAACTTTTACATTTTTTTTTTGTTATGACCGTAAAACTAAATGTTGAGTTGGACTGCTCCATTAAATCTGAGTTGCAAAATGATGAGAAATAGTTTTAAAGGGTTTGAAAACTTCTGTAATGCAGCTAATTGAATTAGCTGTGTTGGAGCAGAAATGGTTGAGAACCATGTGAGACACCGCTCCCTGAAGGTCAACAGGTTTACAGATCCTCTTAGATCCTTGTTATCTCAACAGGTAAACACAGATTTTAGATATTTCACATCTGTTTAAAAGAAGTAGTAACATTTAGGTCTGATTTAAAAAGTTGAGTATTTATCACAGATTAATTAGAGGCTTCAGTCAAAGGCTTTTCCTCCCCATTTGCTCTTTTTGTCTGTTTCTGTTTGTTTCATTGTTTTTTCCTGGAATTGACACCCATCTGGGCTTGGTGCTAATTAGTCAGTGATGTATCTCGTCAAACTGAGATGTCCCAGTGACTATCTGTTCCTGTGGTTTTCCCTCAAAGCAAACCACAGGATCAGAATAGTGATTAAAGTCAGTTAAAGCTGCAATATGACTTGATTCTCTGGATGTTTTGCTAAAAATGTATCCAATCTCTTTGTCTCCCATCAGCCACCATCAGTCATGGCCTTCCCTGCCACTACACCCACGAGCATGATGGGATACGGCATGGTAAGTTTTCTGTTCAATTATCGCTTCAGTAATTACACCCTATATATTATAGGTGTTAGAAATCATTTCCCCAAACATGGCCAATTTACTTTTGAAGGAGTGATTCATTAGCTTTGAGATTTTGGAAATGTTTGCTACAGACATTTAGGACTATTTCTAATACTTTGTGCTGCCAAGGACGAAATGAATAAATAGATAAATTGAATAAACAGCCAATGTCCAAATCTAACACTGTTTAAAATTTTGTTATATGAAAAGTCTAATAACATTTCTCCTTCTGACATGTTTGGATACTGTACTCTGTAACCAGCCAGTCTCTTCTGCAATGGCCTTTTGTGGATTCCCATTGTTGTGGAAGTAACCTCTGACTAAAGATGGACTGATCGTCAGCAAATTTTGGCCTATATTAGTGGGGGTTTTATTTTTGTTTTTTTCTTTTATCTGTGCATTTTGCAGCCATGCTGTGAGCACATGTGGGGAGCATGCATTGCCATTCCCCTCAATTTGCTGCAAATTAGTTTTATTTTCTTCAGTAATAGATGTTTTTTTGTTGTTGTTGTTGTTTAAATTGAGACCTGTATAATATCTGTTTTCATTAAATTTTTATTTTTTTAATATAAGGAAGGAAAAGCAATAGTTACTCAAAGAATCGTCCCAAAGAAATACAAACATCACTTACTGAGGATCTATTAGACTGATGTCAAAATAATCTGTATTGGATTTAAAAATGGTGTATCAGTCGGTCTCTACCTCTGACCATCTGCTGGACCAGTCAGAAGTTATAACTGTGTTTCTTTTTAATCAGTCGTACATTTTAGATCTCTAATAGACTCGATTTTTTAGGCTTTCTTTAAGCTATATTCTTAAAAAAAATGAATAAATTAAACATTTAAAGGATATAACTCTGTGTGGGATAAATTGGTAGTTTCACTCTTCGAGTCGAGTGACTGCAATAAGTTCACTTTAATGTTTAAAACAATTTTGATGCATCAGTACAATCGTTTTCAGTCCCATACAGTTGGTGGTGTTAGCAAATGTTTTCTAAGAATTGTTTTCTTGTAGTTGAAATGACTGATGTGATTTGCAGCCTCCACAGATGGGCTCCATGGGGATGATGAATCCACCCACCATGATGTACACCCAGCCCGTCATGAGGCCGCCCAACCCCTTTGGCTCTGTGTCCAGCGCTCAGGTTCGTGCAAGGCTCAGTCTCCTCAGGTGGAGTACGTGGTGTGTTCAATGTGCAGTGTTGTGAACCCCGGTTAGTGACTGTGAAAGCTTTGTTGTCGGTGTGAATACTGCTGAAGATGATGACAGTTTTAACAAAAAAAGAAGTCTTCACTCGCTGGAGCTGAAACTAACGACAACAAAACTGAAGAATCATCTTCTGTTTCGACTTCCTGTTTTCAAACAGCTCCTCTTTTTATTTTAATTTGTTTGTATTAACCCATCTATCATACATCACAGCCTCTCCAAACTAATCTCATCCCTACTTCAGTCTCTGTACTGACTCTGACTTCTCCTCTGGTCCTCCTACTTCCTGTGTTAGCCCACTGCAGCCTCTAGTCCTTCCAGCCAGAGTCCTCTCCGAGCCCCTGGACAGGACCCGTTTGCACACCTCTCTCTCAAGGATTTCTTGTAGAGCATCTCTTTAGGTACATCATGCTGTTTGCTTGCAGAGGCACCTGCATGCGTGATCCGACCAGCGCTGATGCATGTTTGCTTTTGTTTTATTTATTTTATTTCAAAGCCCTAATGTCCTTTCCAGTGGATCATGCACTGCATATGTTACTTATTGTTTATTTTTGCTTTACTTGGCTTTTTGGGTTACCTTGCATGGATGTCTTTCTTGTTTTGCCTGACTGAGACTGACGCATCTTGGTCCTTTGTGCTTTCACTTACATGATTCGTGGCTTAAAGCAGTTTTTTCTTTGCCTTGCAGCTACTGCTATATTTAACTTATTGTATGTTTGCTAAGCTTTGTCCCTTCAGGGTAAATACTGTTACTGCAGGTTCGTATATAAAGCTGACATGTCAAACTGTTCTTTATGCTCCAAACCACACAGAACATGTTCAGTCAGGTAATATAAAACTTTTCACTGTTAAAAATATGCATTTATTCTCAAATCTGTCAATTGAAGAAAAAAAAGACACTGCTGAAAGTGTACTTTTTTATTAAGGTTAATCTACTTAATTATATATTATAATCAATCTACAGCTTTCCTACATAGTCTAAGGTATTTTGTTACACCAAAGCACAAACCCCACTTCTATAAGCTTCAGTCAACACAATAAAAACTAAATTATAAAACATGCGCCAGCTTATTCAGAAATATATATACTTTTTATTAAAAATCAACATTTAGTTTGACTTTTAACATTGCTCCAAAAATATTTTAGAGATAGAGATTCAACAGTTCTTAATTTAAGCTAAAATAACCCTGTCTTCATTTCTTAGTTTTTATCTATAATCTTATTGGCGCGCAGCTCTTTAATTTATAGTGCTTGCTAATATATTGTTTTTTCTGTCATGTTTTTGACATCTGGGTGCAAAACAAAGCTAAAGGTTCCTGGAATTGAGTTTAAAATGGAAAAAAGTGACAGATTATCAGTAGATTTTACTCTTTCTAAGTAGCCTGACGTAGTCCTACTCAATTCTAGTCAGAATATGAGTCTGATACTGCTCCATAGAGCTGTGATTATGGGGCGTGTTTTGAACGGACCAGGAAAAAAATGCCTCTGTACTCAATTGGATAGACCTACAACCAATAAGAGCAACGGAGTGCGTGACGTATGTTAAGCCAGGCATAGTTGTTGTCAACAAAAATCAAAGCGTGCAGTTGCGCGCCTAGAATAAGAAGATGAGCCTTGATCGCGTTTCTCTTTTCCTCTTTTAAAATTAATTTGCTGTCGATATCTTCTAGAACAGACCTAATAGCAGAATCTACTCACCTCAACTCTCCGGCGGCAGCCATTGTTGTTGTCGCCCAAGCGCGCTTTGGTCACGTGGTTGATTACGTTACTGTTGATCATCTGTCCATCATCGTATAAAGCCCGCCCTGACAATTTGATTGGATCGCCAGAGGGTGGGCTTTAATACTCGCACTACTATGGAGCAGAGCCAGACCGAACTTCCCCGACCTCAAACCTTGTGGGCGGGACTAAGTTCGGAATGGCACCCAGGCTACTTTCTAAGGCTTCTGTCCGACAAATTTGGACTGGTCGTTTGGAAATGTAAATTCAATCCAATCTAAATCTGTTGCAATTTTAAGAAATGTTTCCTTCTAATAATAGTTGTAATACTAATGATAAGAAAAATAATAATAAAAGGTTTAATATTAATTGTATACCAGTTTTAGAGGAAAATGTAGTCAACATGCTGATTTACAGCTTTGATCGTTTTCCTTTTTTTTGCAAAATATATAAACTAAATAAATAAAAGGAATTCTGTTTTTGCTTGTTCCATTGTAATAATGTGTGCTTCTGCTTTCTAGCTGAACTGGCAATAAAACAAACTATGTAACTCAACCTAATTAGATGAACATATTAGTCTTTTTAGACTAGACATTCCAGCTTTCTGTTTAGGGGGGGAAGCTTAGCAAACTGTGACTAAACTCTTATGATCGTCTGTTGGATTCAGCCTCTGTTTGACCCCCGCTCTCTGCTTTTCTTGCAGATGCAGTTCATGTAATTTGAAGGAAGTGTCTCTCAGAAGATGAAGCACTTAGCAGCAAAACCTTGTCCTCGTTGCCGTCTAACTCTTCAGAGAAGCACCCCCCCACCCCCCCTCCCAAATACAGACACGTCGAGAATATAATGGTGCACCAACTGTCAGAAACCATTGTAACCATGTCCACACGGCGGTCGGCAGTAACTCAAACCCATTTTATTCTGAAATAACTAGGCCGACATGCCGAGTGATGCTGCTTTCTAACCTCCCCCCCACCTCTTTTTCGATGACTGCTTACTTGCCTTACAGTGTACTCTGTAAGGATGGTTCGGGTGCTCAGAAGCTCACGTTAAATTGGAGATTCTGAGGTTGGAAATGAAGGCTTCGATAGAGAGAGGGGAGGGGGAGCAGTTCTTCCCCTTCTTGATCCAATCATCAGTCATCCAGACCCTGCAGTTATTTAACCGTCACAAAGTAGTGATGCTAACAACGTTTACACCTGTTTAGTTTTTGTCTTTTTTACCGTGTTTACAGTAGACATTCCTTGTGTGTTGTTTGTATTTATTTATGATTATTGGTTTAAGATTGCCGGGGAGGGGGGGGGTTAATGTAAAATCTACAGTAAAATGATCACATTTATGTGGGAGTGCTTCAGCATTAAACAAGGATTACAGACTATCATTAAGAGGTAGAGAAAAAAATAGATATTATATGAATTACACCTATTAAGCGGAATGATAGAGCACTAAATATTCTGAGTTTTGTGTTAAGAAAACTTTTGTTTTTTCCTACTAGATGAAAGATTTCACGATTTCCATTGTACTTACAGTGCAGGGGTTCTAGTACCAGTCAGTTAACAGTATATAGTGTGCCTAGGGTTTAATTTGTATCGGATCCGTGTCCCCAACTAGTTTGGGGGGGAAAAAAAACAAATGACCACGAATCTGAAGGGTGGCACTGGGTGGTGGGCTCCATTTGCTTTAAGCTTGGCATGCCGTTGACTCACTGACTGTAATCAAGGCTGCCTTTACTCTGAATGTGAACGAGTTGTCTTCATGTTGCACACATCTTTCAACGCTGCAGTTTCTCAGAGAAAGAGCGGTGTCGTTGGGGAAGGGTGGGTGGGTCGGCTGAGTGGGTTGTGATCACACGAGTTGGGGTGGGGGGTAAAAAAAAAAAAAAGATAAAAAGTGAGGGGAGCGGGTGTAAATTAGCTGTACAAAAGATCCAGAAGGAGCAGGGTAGAGCGGAGCAGCACTGTTGATCGGTGCCACATGTACATAAACACTCAACTGTTCTATGAGCGAACAAACGTGAAAGATGTATGAAATATGAAAGCAATTCAATCAAATTTGACTCTACCTAAGTTTGATTCAGGATATTCTCTGCGTTTGTCTCCGCAGATATTTTCTTTATGTAATTAGATGGTGTAGCAGACAATGACTGAGGTCTTTTCTTTCTTTTTCAAATAAAGAGCAGCTTCCACAAACGTGTCTCTTTCTGTAGCTCTGCTCTTGTCATGTTGACTACAATGCTGAAGGCGAGGGACAGAAACTTTGTCGTTATCAAAATCGTGGCTAATGGGTATTTCTATGTTTAATGAATGTGAAATAACTCAATATTTTGTCATTTCAGGAAATAAAACCATCACTTTATTAGACATTTGATTTTAAGCCTTTCAGTTTTGATTATGGTTAACAGATTGTAAAATTGGAAAAATAAAAATCACTTGTAAAGAATGTTAAACATGTATAGGTTCCTTTAAAGATATGAATTTGTTGGGCTTTCTGCATGACCCACTGTTCTTCCTAGTTATTGAGGGATTCAGGCTGTGGTTCTGAGGTGTGATAGAAGCCAAATTAGCCGTTTGATGGCAGCCTTCAGGTCATCTGCATTGTTATAGGTGGGTAAAGTATCTACAGATTTAACTAAGAGAACTAATTTAACATTTTTCATTCAAATAAAGAAAGTAGTCCAACACGTACTTGCTGAAAAGTTCTGTGTAATTGATGGGTCAAAACACACCGGATTTGTAATCAGATTGCAAATTCTGGCATTACAAACTATAAAATAGGAAAAATAAATGACAAAAAGGCAAATTCATGCAGAAGCAACACTTTTCCAAAAACAAAATTTTTTTATCATAAGCTCAGAACCTTTTTTTTTTTTTTTTTTTTTTTAGATAAGTAATTGATATAGATCAATACTTTACTTTTATCTGAAAGATTACTTTAAATTCACCTGATCTCCAAAAGCAAAAGTTTGAATTGGGCAGAATAACCAGAAATCATTCTGAATTAAAACTAGCATTTTTCCATATATATGTGTATACCTAATTAAAAGTAAAAACTGAACTGTTTCTATTGCAGCAACTTCAGGAAACAAAAAAGCTGCTGAGAGAATGAGGTCGGGCCGTTCCTTGTCTGACGCTGGGATCAATATGGTGCTGATGTGAACTTTATTCACATCAAAGGTTTAAACAACATATCTAAAGTATAACTTGTTAAACATACAGTAGTTTACAGCGATTTGCATTGCAGTCAACAAAAAAATACAGTGGTCCACTCACCCACTGTCTGCCAGTGTCACTCCCACAGGTGACTAATATACCCAATTACAAAACTCCTCCCAAATCTAATTGATCCATTCCCCTACAAACAGACATCAAACCAACAAATAACATACCAGGTATAAACTCAGACAAACGAATGTCAAAGCATCTTTTCATTTATGGGTCCTAGAACTACTTAAAATAGATTTTTTTTTTTTCCCCCTTTCTGCTTAAACCCACTCAAGTAAATGCAACTTATTACTACCCACCTCTGGTGGTCTGGTGTCTCATTTTTGGACAGAAAATCAGGTCAGATGGACTCTAAGGCCAATGAATCACAGAACCAAAGATCCAACACAAGCAGAACCCTAAATCCTCACTGATTGCTTTCCGACTAAACTTCACACTTGTTTCTGCTCCCCTCATCCTTATTTGGGACCTTTATTTTCCCATTAAAATTTAAACTTTATTTTCATATGGGGGCGGAGGAGCCAGCCGGGAGGCATCTGAAACAGATCCCGGTCGCCTCCCTCCAGGCATGTCTTATTGGGAGGAGGCCTTGTGGAAGGTGCTGAAGTCCAGTCCTCAAGAGCTGCTATTCCACAACTTTTTGATGCAACACATTTTTAAAACACCTGAATCAAATGAGTGCCTCGCTACCACGCCTCTGCTGAGCTAAATGAGGGGATTGAGGCTTTAGATTCTGGTGTGTTAGAAAAGAGATGCATCTAAAAGATAGAGCATGGTAGCTATTGAGGACTGGACTGGCCTGGCCTAGGACATGCTGGAGCGTCTATGTCTCAGCTGGCCTGGTGTTGCCTTGGTGTCCCCCCAGAGCAGCTGGAGGAGGTGTGTGTGGATTGGGAAGTCTGGGCATCTCTGGTTAGACTGCTGACTTTGGGACCTGGGCCTGGATAAAGCAGAAGATATTTTCCCATTTTTTTCTCTATAACCCATCTGTAGCCCATGTGCTAGATCAGTCAGTTTTTTCTATTACACCTTTTCCCTCCACTTGAGTTTTTATAAAGATGCTTGGTTGAAACATTCTGAACAACCACCTTCTTCAGAAATTACCTTATCTTGTTTACTTACTTATGGAGGGTGAGTTACTGTCCTCTACACATCTGTTCTCTCAGCCGTATTTCCCACGATTGTGTATCCTAGTGACAGACTTTGATATCAGGAGTTAACTAAATACATGCAAATTTTAAGTCTTTTTTTTTTTTTTTTAGGTAAATGCAGGATATAGTTTGCTCTGTACTTTATACACTATATTGCCAAAAGTATTTGCTCACCTGCCTTGACTCACATATGAGCTTAAGTGACATCCCGTTCCTAATCCATAGGGTTCAATATGACGTCGGTCCACCCTTTGCAGCTAGAACAGCTTCAACTCTTCTGGGAAGGCTGTCCACAAGGTTTAGGAGTGTGTTTATGGGAATTTTTGACCATTCTTCCAGAAGCGCATTTGTGAGGTCGCACACTGATGTTGGACGAGAAGGCCTGGCTCTCAGTCTCCGCTCTAATTCATCCCAAAGGTGTTCTATCGGGTTGAGGTCAGGACTCTGTGCAGGCCAGTCAAGTTCATCCACACCAGACTCTGTCATCCATGTCTTTATGGACCTTGCTTTGTGCACTGGTGCACAGTCATGTTGGAAGAGGAAGGGGCCAGCTCCAAACTGTTCCCACAAAGTTGGGAGCATGGAATTGTCCAAAATGTCTTGGTATGCTGAAGCATTCAGAGTTCCTTTCCTTGGAACTAAGGGGCCAAGCCCAGCTCCTGAAAAACAACCCCACACCATAATCCCCCCTTCACCAAACTTTACACTTGGCACAATGCAGTCAGACAAGTACCGTTCTCCTGGCAACCGCCAAACCCAGACCCGTCCATCAGATTGCCAGATGGAGAAGCGCGATTCGTCACTCCAGAGAACGCGTCTCCACTGCTCTAGAGTCCAGTGGCGGCGTGCTTTACACCACCGCATCCGACGCTTTGCATTGCACTTGGTGATGTATGGCTTGGATGCAGCTGCTCGACCATGGAAACCCATTCCATGAAGCTCTCTGCGCACTGTTCTTGAGCTAATCTGAAGGCCACATGAAGTTTGGAGGTCTGTAGTGATTGACTCTGCAGAAAGTTGGCGACCTCTTCGCACTATGCGCTTCAGCATCCGCTGACCCCGCTCCGTCAGTTTACGTGGCCTACCACTTCGTGGCTGAGTTGCTGTCGTTCCCAAACACTTCCATTTTCTTATAATACAGCTGACAGTTGACTGTGGAATATTTAGGAGCGAGGAAATTTCACGACTGGATTTGTTGCACAGGTGGCATCCTATCACAGTTCCACGCTGGAATTCACTGAGCTCCTGAGAGCGACCCATTCTTTCACAAATGTTTGTAAAAACAGTCTGCATGCCTAGGTGCTTGAATTTATACACCTGTGGCCATGGAAGTGATTGGAACACCTGATTCCAATAATTTGGATGGGTGAGCAAATACTTTTGGCAATATAGTGTATATCCTAGTTTTTGAAATACTATTCTGATTGGAGCTTTTCTGATCCATTACAGCCACAAACCTTTAAGTATTTTATTAGGAGATAAGGTGAGAGGCTGAACACAAAATGTGCAGGTGATCAAGCTTACAGCTCAAGCATAAAATGGTGACATAATTTATGCATATGGTATTTCATAAATAATTTTTGTTCTATCAGGGCAGATTTAAGTAATTATTTATTAAGAAACTTGCGTTTCCAAATAATTATGAAATCCCTCTTTGAGCACAAGGCCTTTATCCCTTGATGTGCTCCAAGGTCATAGAATCACCTCAGAGACACAGTGGGGGTGTTTATTCCTCCAAACTGGAGCACAGATGGTGAAACAGCTTCGTGTAGCTGCTTTAATTGCAGTCTGACCTCAGCCTGTCCTGTTGTGGCACATGGGAAGATGCTCACACCCTTTAGTCAAACATTCGCTGCATCTCGGCCACTGGCGACACCTGCTGGATGCAGCCTGTCACTGCAGCCCAAGTTAAACAGCGCGAGCTGCAAAAGAAAAAAGCGGTTGGCATTAATCACCCAGGCCCACATTAAACAATATTAATTAGTCTGAGGAAGAGTACAGAAGGTTATATAACATAAAGGCTGGTCTTTATCTTGTCTTAGTCAGGTCCTCCCATCGTTATGCTGAGGCTCCGCCCCCTTCTCCTGCGCTCCTGTGAGCGCATCCAGCAGCAGCAGCGCAGCTGAGACACCCTGAACAATTTATCCCTCCTTTTCTAACCATAAAAGTGGTCCTGAAAGGTGTCCTGTAAGGTAAGTCAAAATATAAACCTGTTTTCCGATATATTTTTATGACCTTTTGTCTTGAACAGAGAGAGAAAAAATATCTTATTGAAATTAAATTAAATTAAAGTTATCTAACCTGTTGCATTTCTCCAATAATTTCCAAACGTTATTGTCCATAACAAATGGAGCATTGGTATGTTTGATGCTGTGTCTGTACAAAATAATTTTACTGAAATGTGGAAATAAAAAGGCAAGTATGATTTACTTGATTTATATCATTATCTGAAAACTAGAATTAGTTCCCACTTACTGACCCTGTGTGGTGTTATTTACGCGCTGTCACACAGCCATGTCTAATTTAAATGTTAATGAATTAGAGAAGGTTCTCTTAAATCTTCAAGTTTTTAAAAAGGGGTACGAAACGGCTGGTGACAGGGGCGGAGCTAGATGGGGGGCCAGAGGTGGCCATAGGGTTAGCCAATCATTGGCCACCCTTAGCATCTTTTTCACACTGTAATACAGATGGCAGCAGTAATAATCTCAAGGGGAATGTTAAAACTTATTAATTTTTTCATATATTAACAATTACATGACAACTAAAACACTGTGCACATCAAAATACTAACATTGATATATACAGAATATTATGTCTCTGTTAGTCATCTAGGAGTCTTCAGTGAAATCATAGATGAATAACTACTTTAATAATAAATTAAACATCCACTTAAAGTAGATATTAGTACATGTAAATATGAATTTTATGCAAAACAATTTTTGAAAAGATGTTCGCCCCAGAAATTTTGTCCTACACCTTTTATTTCAA